CAGCTACCAGAGTCACTTCTGAGGAGTCTGTCCCTGTATCACCATGAGTCATTTCTCTGCTTGCCAGAAGGTTTCTGAGAGTGGGGCTCTCCAGGGGGATTTCCAGAAACAGGCCATGCCTCCTGAACCCCTCACACAGCCAAGGGAAATCATGGCAGAGACTGCAGAGTCATAAAAAGGACACAGATCACTGAAATTTGCAATGACTGCAATCCATGCCAGTCTCTGGTTTTCAAATGTTTGAGTTGTGTATCTCCCCATTTAATGGATGTGATAATGAGAGAACAGAAATAAGCAAATATAAGTGACAAAAAAGCAGCTTACAATGCACTGGAAAAACTCAGTAGCTTCTGAATGTCAACCCCTGCCTCTTTCCCCCCAGTTTTATCCACTGTATGTTCATCCTGTACTTTGACCAAACATAAAGAGGATTTACCTGATTCAATTCTTAAGAGCCATTTCAAATCTGAATAATTAAAACATGATGTGTTTTAGGCATTTCTCTTTCCATTTCCAAGACAGCCTTACTGATAGTCAAGATAGGCCTGAATTTCATAGATACTTCTACCTACACCTGGATCCCTCTATAATGAGAATAAGGGTGGCCCTTGAAAATATGCTGAGCTAAGATGTCATCACATGGAGTTTGGGGAAGTTTAAAATAAAGGAAGGCAGTTTGATTTATCTCTACCTGACGCTGTGTCAGGAAATAGTTACTGTCGTGCCTTGGCAGAGCTTTCGGTTGAAACAGTTGCTCTCTCAAAACAAGCGGTTTGAAACAACAAAGGGTTGTGGTCTTTGGACAGGCTTAAGGACCTCAGATTGCAAAGAACATTACTGTGTCTCAGTAGACACATGGAAGCTATTGTGATAGGATGAATTTTCTATGTCCAACTAAAATACTTGCAGTTTCCACTTGCAGAGAGGCAGGACCATAGCTCTGTGCTAAATGTACTTTTTGGAGAGAAAGAGACCTGTTTGCTAGCCCTACTGATTACAACCCTTTTCCCTCTCCATGGCAACTTCCCAGTTAGTAGCATCACTTGATAGGTTATCTCTCAGTTCAGAAGTCATCAAACGTGGTAAATATATAACCTCTTTGTTGTGCTGCCAGATGAAAAAGCCACTCTTTTGTGAGGGAGATACGAAACATGTCTAGACTGACAATATTCATGTAGGTTGGGCCTACTGTCCAAGCCTTAGCACTTCACAGTGCACAGCCATCAGAGACCATAATTTTGTGCCAACTGATGACCCAGCTGAGGTCTGAACAGTCAATCTAGTTGCATAATGTTATGTCTGCTATGGCCCTTATCTAGTATAGTCAGATCCTACCTGCCCAAACACTTTAATGCTGATAAAGGGTTCTCTAAATACATACAGAAAATACCACACTATGCAGACAGGAAAGCTATCAGCAACTGGAAATACAGCGAAAGACTGCAGGAGAACCTCACCAATCAAAGTATTTCTAATAAGGCCTGGGGAGAGGTAGAAGTTTCAATGTTGCCAGCTTGGCCATTTTTCACAGAATGAAAGAAATTAGAAAAAAAGAAGAAAAGATTAGTTATATCACTATTATTACCACCCTGCTAAAGGAAGAGCATTTCTTATCTGGAATTCTTTTTACTGCCTCCTTTCTGCCATCTCTAATGCATTTATAATGTGTTATGTGCCTACTAAGTCATAAACTCATATAAGTTATCTAGAGTGCTCCCTTCTTCTGCCACAGCAGAGCAGAACACACCAGAGGGGAATATATAATTTTAAGGTCTCCCTCAGAGACTGTGTAATGTGCCTGATTTTGTGGTATTCAACCAGATCCTCTCTCATAAAACTGGCCACTGGCACAATCATCGAGGTGTCAGTGCCAGGCCATGAGGTTGCTGGGAATACATATATGTCCTCTCAAGAACACAGTATTTCCTGACAACAAGCTCATTTACAGATGTGTCAAACTCAAGAGGCTTCATGTTTATTGAAACTTTCCATCATTACATCAAGAAAGGAGAGAGGGGAAACAAAATTGCTAAAGACTCTGGCACAAAGTATTGATGCTTGACTTGGAACAGTATGTGTCTCTAAATCAGCGGCCTCAGCCTGCAATACCAGAAATCTGGTAACCTAGATGTAACTTTTACAACATGGAACTAGTATACAATTTAGATTTCTACTAGTCATAGTGGTCATGGAAAAGAAATGTGATTTCCATGGGAAGCCCCTAAGATGGGCTTTAAAGCTGAACACTGTTATGGAAAACCCTAAGTCCTACAAAACAAATACATTATGAAATAATAAATGAAGAACTGCTCCTGCCTTGAATTTCTGCTGATGGGCACTGCCAATAGCAACTCAGGGAGCTTTGCAACATGCTGCTGGATTCCAGATTTACGAGGAAATACACATCTGCAGAGAGAAGACGGGCAACCTCTGTGGATGAAACTGTTCTGCTGCAAAGCCATTTGCAGACTATGAACAAATAAATGCTTCCAAACCACACCAAAATCCAAACTGTAACTGCATCCTGCTGTTCTATTTGGGTTTCCTTCTATTTCAGTTAAATGAGAAGAACTTGACAGTTCTGCAGCAACAGGACAGAATGGGAAAGCAGCAGAGGAGGGAGCTGCCAGGGCTTTTGTCTCTGTGAAGACAGGATGGAGAGGGGACAGCAAGCAGGGTTGCTGACTGATACCACAGTCTCTGACAAACAGAAAGACTCAAAAGCAAATCTATTTTTGTCCCTATCCTTGTCCCCTGCACCAGTGTCTACTGTCTGGCGTAACGACAGATAGGTCCAATTGCTGGACATACGCACTACCTGCAGGCATCCCTGAAATTCTCCTGAACTGGCATTTAAATACTGCCTCTAGACCAGATTCAGTGTGCAACATTCATGGGTTTCACATGTCCCTCCTGCCCTCCAGCAAACACAGTTACTGGGCAATTTTTTTTTTATTTTTTTTTTTAAATTCTGGTCCTGCTTCTTGGGTGAATGAGAAGGGTGCTAGAAGGAGCCACCAGAATGTCTCCTGGTTCACACACAGTTGATGGCACTTATTTTCCCATACCTGTGGAAGAGCATTAAGGGATTGACACATGTTAAGTGCAAAGAGTCAAATCCACTTTGCCTTTAAAGGCATCACAGCCACTTAGACCATTCTGCAATGCCGTAGCACTTCAAAAGAGGAAAATGCACCTTGATTGTTTTTAAAACACTTTTGTGGATCCATGATGGTATAAATGTCATTGTGGTATCTGAGGGTTCATTTATCCAGGACAGCAGTTAAGAACTGACGGTATTTTTTAGCACAGCTATGACTTAACAGGTTGCAGTAAGCTTTCTCCATGTGCTAGACAAACCTTCTGCCAACTTTCAGAGAGAAGACTTCAGGATAAGGAGACAAAGCATTCAACCTGATTTGGCTACCACACTGAGTAGGGAGAAAAATACCGTGTCCACACAGCTCACGGGAAATGTGCTTGAGTCCCACTGGCAGTAGCAATCACATTTAGTACAGTCATATTTCCATTACAGAGAGTCTTCACTCCAAAATTTATGTATGACTTAATTCGATTATTTTTCTTCACCATTTCTGCCTGACAAACTGTACTTGTTAGGCCCCTGGCTGGAAATCCATGCTAATCAATTTAAGGCCTGGTAGATAAAGCAAAGTTTTTTTCCCTGTGTTGTCAGCAAACCACATTTCATGACTATACTCAAGCCTCCGCTAACTAAGGTCACTGGCACGTTTTCAAAATCCAGGAGCAAGTTAGAAGAACAGGAAAAAGCTGCAGCTTGAGCAAAGACAGAAAATGCCAGTGGAGCTCCTCACACTGGGACGGGAGTGCGGGGAGTATGGGGGAGGCCAATGGCTCTATGTGATGTTCATGCAAATGAATTTGTTGATGGGTTCTATCCTCCCACACACAAATGACAGTTTTGATTATTTTAACTACAGAATTTTGTTTCCTTCATCAAGCAAACTAAATACTCAGCAACTGCTAGACTATTAAGCAAATGGTATGAGATGATAACAATCTTACATTTTTACATAATGCCTTTCAGGCTTGTCACTAGGCACACTAGAAGTTGCACCTATGAAAAGAGCACTTCAGGAATGAACACGAGAGCTGCCTGAGAGGCCATTTCATCAGTAAAGAGGGTGCAAACACCAGAAAAGCAAAATGCACTCTTCCCAGACAAAATTCTGAGTAGCCTTTTGGACAGGTACTAAACACAATAAACAGATATCAGATAGCCATGTGTTAGAAACCATGGAACAACCACTAAAACAACTATTGAAACTGAATATCCTTGTCATGAAGTTTACCACATACCTGGTGCAGTGAAAACAACTGCTGCACAAACAAGTATCTAGTTAATATTTAACTGTACTGAAAGCTTTGGCTTAAAACCTGGCTGATGATAAAAGCAGTTTGTCAAGACATCAATTTTCTCTCTCATTGGAAATCTAATGCTTCACACAACATCATCTGTAATTGAACCGTGGTTCTACTTACATACACAGGAGGCAAATGTGCATCTCAGTCATCAGAATCACTGCAATTCCCAGTCCTGTAATTCCAACCCAAATTTTAATCTGTAACCAACCCTCTTAACCAAAGATCACACTTCAAATCCTATCTTCATTAAAGGTTTTCTGCATGTCCCCAAGCAATTCATGTCGCTGTTTTGTCTCTCATATTCTTGCCTGAATACAGGCATTCCTAACATTGTGAGGGTTTCTTAGGGATACAGTTAATCTGAATTTTACAGAACCTCAAGGAGAATGGAGCAGAGTACCATGTGAGTACTTCCATCAACTGAAGAACAACAGCAAAGAGAGGGGAAGATCAGAAGAACTTTGATCCTTTGATCCTTATGGGAAAAATCTGTGATCACTCTTAAAATCACATGAGGGTAAGAGCGAAGGCTCAGAACTAAACCTCACCCTGAACCTTCAGAACAAGTCAGGTTTCCGATGAAGGAAGCTGCTTACCGCCTGAGTGCGTTTGTCAGTTCAGCAGTCAGTTCACTCTCATCGTATGGTCTCAGCTCAGCTAGTGTTAACGGTGCTGCGGTGCCATCATTACATTCCTGAGAAATGAGGAAAGTCCATCTAATTTGAAGTTACCAGCTTAATGGAAAAACTCTGAAAACCTCTTAGTTCACAGCTACTTTTAAAATGGAAGTGAAATAAACATCACAATGTCACAACAACATGGCAGTGCATCAACATACCAAGAAATGGACTAACAGATTAACACTTTGCGAATCCTATGCCACCACAGCTCATTGATTTGCAGAATTCTACTACAGAACACGTAACTGCTGGTGCCTTACATTACTTTCTGACACCACACTTGAAACAACTCAGAAACAAGTAAGAAAGTTCTACACTAGTTCTAGATTTTGTTTTTAAATGTAATACTGAGGTCTTCTGAAGACACAGCTCTGAAATAACAGAATTAAAGCTTTTCCAGGTATCACTATTTCTTCGTGCAAATTACTGAAGTACAGGTAGAAATCTGTTTGTTTTCCATTATACTAAGGGGGGAAAAGTCTTCATTCCTGAATCACTGCAAACTGTTAGACTTGGAAGAGCCTGACATTACAGTGCTCTGCTTCATTGAAATGAGCTCTATTTTTCATTTTTTCTGTTTGGAGTAGGGGGAGGACAGCATTTTGCTTAGCCTCACTGCTTCCAGTGAGTGGCAAGAGGCAAGACACACATCTTCAACCACAGAAGCTTGTATGTTTGGCAAGAATAACTTTGTTGTACTCCTCCCCAAACTGACAACCTTATTTTAGCCCAGGCTTAACAGTAATTCTACAAAGTCCTCATAACTCACAGCATGGGAAGAACTACCTAACAACTGGAGAGAAGATGTACATATTGACAAAGGAGAATGATTAACATGCTGAAGACTACTACAGAGAGGGGAGGTGTACAATAAATCAAGTTTACTCTGATTTTAGAAACCTGACTCCTGACCTTGCCCAATTTGTCTTTGCTTCCACTGCTGGTTGAGCTGAGAGACCTCATTCTCTGCTCTTTTTGCTCTTCCACTTCAGACTTCAAGTGCTCAATATGGACGAGGTACGCCTGTTCCTGGGCCTCTCGCGTGCTCAGTTTCAATTCCAACGCCTTCTTCTCCTTCTCTAGCAAGTAAAGCTGTGCCTTGAGCTCTGCCATCTCCTCCTGTTGAAGAAACATTATCAGCATGCTGCTTCACAGGAATACATACCTAAAAGAAGATGAGGTTAAACAAGGTTTTCATCCACTCCTATTATTTGAGTGTTCTTTCCATGCAGAACACTATCAGCATCCAGAAGACTTTGTATAATCACATAGTATATTTGTCAAAAGACTAGTGTATCTTGAGGCTAAGTATGATGAGCTGTGCCATCCCTTTATCAGCCTCAGAAACAAGTTCAGAGACAAGACAGCAGCTAATGAGGTGCTGAAACTGGAGTTAACAGGGATCTGAGTGGGTTGCCACAGCTGCTGAATTTGCTTTGGTTCTACCTTACCCTTCAGAGACCATTGCCCTAAAACCAGGAGTGTCTGACTTTCTTGTCAGTGCCAGATTCCAGTTTCTTATTGATACATAAGAATTATAGTTGGTTTAAAAGTGGAGTCCATTTGAGGGACTAGGACAGCAAACACAGATCACATATTCCTGCCTAGTAATACCAGCCTCTGTGGTAGAACGAGATAGTCAAAAAGGGCAACTGGGTATGGCACCGTTAGATGTCCATTTTTAATTTCCCTTGACTAGAGGGCCAGAATCCAAACTATAAACAACTGGAGGCTGACAAAATTGCACTCACTATCATCTTTCATAAATATGATCCACTGAAGATGGACACTGGTACTTCACAGAAAGAAGTAAACTCTAAGAGTTAGTTCTTTTGTGTAATTCTTCTGTCACTCTTATTATTTACGCCAGGGCTGTCAACTATTGTAACACAACAACTGCTATTTGGGGAGAGACCTCTGCTTTAACATCTGCTCTGACAGTAGCTGGGCAGAAGTGTAAGAACATGGCATGAGTGCAGTGACCCTTCTTCTAGCACTTGCTCCCAGCCTCCCATGAAAAGCAGCTGATAACCTGAACCAGAAAGCTATTTTGTGTTTGACAACATTTCAGAAAAGTTTCTTCCATTAAATGTCTTGTTATTTTTTATGAATCCAGGAAAAGCCAGCATCTACGAAACATTTAACAAGGTAGTCCTAAAACATAGTTTACATTATGTGTTAAAAAGCCACCGAACAAACAAAAAACTGCCGAAACAAAACAAAAAAAACCCCCAAGCCAGAATCATGTTCTCACTGTTGACCTTGCCGTGCCCTAGGACACTCTGTGTGTGAATACTGAGTTCATGAAGCCCTCTTCTCTATCACAGTTCAGTCCTAGACTTCTTCACTGTGCAAACACCTCTGAAGGATAAAAGTTTCTTGTTGTGTGGCTAGCCTAGGAACAAATCACTATTTTAAAACAGAAAACCATATTCTAGTCACAAAAATATCAAAATTACCTTACCTCATCCTTCAAAAATAATGTTCTTTTATTATATCCATTATTAACAAAGATTATACAGACACAAATCTTGACATATATTTAGACTAACTTCTTCTGTAGAAGAGAATCCACATTCCTACCAAAAATATGCTGTCTGGATCAATTGTGAGCAGTGCACACAGGTGTAGTAAAGTTACAACCAGCATATAGTAATCATAGGTAATCACTGACTTACTAAGAATCGCCAACCATGCAAAAATAAAATCCATATTCTAAATACCCTCAGGCTTGGAAAGGTTTCAAATAATTCATTTATTCATCTACTTGTTTGTGAATGGAAAGTTAGAAGCACAATCAGTTTTATTCAATGTCGCTTACAGAAATTCAGTTGTTAGGCAATCTTACCACTAATTTCTTCTATCAACAGTAAAAATGTAAATAATACTGATAAATAATGATGAGGAAATTTAGTTATATGAGTTGAACTAGATTGTCTGGTATACTTAAGTGTATGCATTTAGCTTCTTAAGCCTCTATTTCTAAAGCCAATAATCTACTTAGCCTGTTTAGTGAAGGCTGAGAAGTAATTTGAGCAGAGTATCTTGGCACTTATGTGAATAGAAGAATATCTTGACAGAGGGCTATCTATGTGGGAAAGTAATGACAAGATCTTCCCAGGCTGGAAGTTGAAGCTAGGCAAATTCAGCCTAGAAATAAGGGATATTTATTTCCTAAAAGAAAAAGGTGAATTTAACCATTGCAACAATGAATCTGTGGAACTCATTTTTCCCATCACTTAAAACTTCTAACTTAAAGACTGGATATTTGATTGTACTTCATATCCTAGCTTAAATTAAATCGGAGAATCAATGGTTAACTCTTTATGAAGGCAGTAAGCTTAGACGATCATATACAAATTCTGCACCCTGTCCCAGAAGACATATCATGGACTCCAAAAGTATCCCCCATACATTAATTTTCTCATGTCAAGACAATGTGACTTTGAAGTAGAAAAGCAAAGACAAAGCAGGGAAAAAGTTGCAGAATTGTCAGCTGGTGTTTTACAGAGGCTCTCAGGGAAGGAACAGGAAGGAGTGGAAAGGTTGAAGTTAAAAATCAAAACTACAGTTGAGGATTCTGGTATGAACACATACAATCTGTAAGGCAGGGTGGCAACAGTAACATCTCATGGGAAAATATAAGTAGCCCAGGTTTACTTAGACATTTAACTATATTTATCTTTATATATGCAGTAATTTTTTTTCATGAAAATATGTTTTCTAAATATAGCTTCTAAACAGCTTCTGAATTTAATTTCAATGACATGTTTATTTACTATCCTTTTTTTTTTTTTTTTTCCCCTAATGACAGGATGTTGGTGAAACATTTTGCAGTTTAACATATTCCTTCTTCAGAGTGTGTGCCTAAAGCACAAGTAGCATTTACAAAATGATAACACTGAAGGAGGAGGTAGCAAGTGGTCACTCTTTCAGTTGATTGCAGAGGAGTTACACAACCCAAGCAAATTCACAGTCTTCAAGTACAAAATCTAGCAGTCATTTCAGGACTAATTAACTGAATATTGAGGAATATTTTGTACTTGCAGTCAAACTGTACTTCTTAATTTGGGTGAACACTTGAATGAAAATTAAGCACTTCTGAATATAATCAGAAACACCCAGCATCCTCAAAATTAAAATTTGTGTTGGATGTGGCCAGGTCAGAACAATAAAACAAGGACTCTTGGTGTTGCAAAAAGTTCTGAAAGTCATGAAACGGGACTCAAGGACACCAGCCTTCAGAAGTAAAACAAGTATCAGAGCAAATAAATGCCATGCTCTAGTTAACTGTATTTCACTACATACACTTATAAGAGCATGAAATGCTGTAACAAAGGTGGACAACAGGATTCTTAACATTTTCTGCAAAGACACTGTAGTCTCAAAGCACATTATGAGCAATACTATCACTACCTGTACACAAGAGAAAAAATTGTCAGTGTAGAAAGATGAGATTAACTAGATTAAGTCTCTTGAAATGCAGAAAGACAGTAAACCAAGAATTATTTACACCCATCAGAAGTAATCTCCTTGCTAACTGGGGCACGACAACAATTGACCTCAAAGCAACACCACTGACTGCTGACAAACTGCAGATAAGAATATATTTGGAAACATGGTTAATTATTGCTTGAAGCAATGAATTGGATTTTACAGAAATACTGGCGGACCACTAAACCTTACACTCCGGATTAGTAAAAATAAAATAAACAGGGCAACAGAGAAACCACCCCCAAACCATCTTTTTATGGATCATTTTCATCCGTAATGAAGAACTAATGGTGTAAAAGCATTTTCAGAACATTATCAGTGTAACACAGAGATGCAAGAAGCAATATGAGTGATGTGGTGATCAGTTTTCACTGGGAGTCATAAATGAAAGATGCCAAAAGATGCAGCAGAGATTCTGACACAGACACAAGTTTCAGGAAGACAGCAACAAGTCATAAGGCTCAGCAATGCAGGAAATTCTCGAGTAACTCAATCAAGCAATCAATAAAGTTCTCTATACTTAGAGGCCAGGAGAGGGGGCAGCAGAACTAACATCCTAGACTTCCAAAGGGCTGACTTTGACTTGTTTAGGCAACTGCTTGACAGAAGCCCTTGGGAGGTGGTCCTGAAGGGTGTAGGGGCCCAGGAATGCTGGGCGCTCTCTAGAGAAGGAAGTGTTAATGGCTCAGGAGCAGGAGGTCCCCAGGTGCTATAAGAGAAGCCAACGCCAGAGAAGACCACCCTGGCTGAACAGGGAGCTTTGGCTACAACTTAGGGAGAAAAGGAGAGTTTATGGCCTTTGGAAGAAGGGGCTAGACACACACAGTGATTATAAAGATGATGTGAGGCTATGCAGGGTGGAAATCAGGTCTAAAGCCCAGCTGGAAATTAATCTGCCTTCAGCAGTCAAGGACAACAAGAAATGTTTATATAAGTATACCAGCAGCAAAAGAAAGACCAGGGAGAGTCTCCATCCCCTGCTAGATGCAGGAGGAAACATGGTAACAAGTGATGAGGAGGAAAAGGCTGAGGTGCTTACTGCTTTCTTTGCCTCAGTCTTTAATAACATGACTAGTTGCAGTGAGGGAATCCAGCCTCCTCAGCCAGAAGACAGAGACTGGCAGAACGACCCCACCACAATCCAGGAGGAGACAGTCAGGGACCTGCTGCATCACACACAAACACACACACACAAGTCTATGGGACCAGATGGGATACACCCGAGGGTGCTGAAGGAGCTGGCTGGGGTGCTGCCAGGCCACTTTCCATCATTTACCAGCAGTCCTGGCTGACTGGGGAGGTCCCAACAGACTGGAAACTGGCCAACGTGACGTCCATCTTTAAGAAGGGTTGGAAGGATGATCGTGCAATTACAGGCCTGTCAGCTTGACTTTGGTGCCTGGGAAGCTGATGGAGCAGCTCATCCTGAGTACCATCATACAACACATGCAGGACAACCAGCTGGTCAGTCCCAGTCAGCATGGGTTTATGAAAGGCAGGTCCTGCTTGACAAACCTGATCTCCTTCTACGACAGGGCGACCTGCTTATTGGATGAGGGAAAGGCTGTGGATGTTGTCTACCTTGACTTTAGCAAGGCCTTTGACACCGTTTCCCACAGCATTCTCGTGGTGAAACTGGCTTGGATGGGCACATGCTTTGATGGGTAAAAAACTGTCTGGATGGCCGGGCCCAGAGAGTTGTGGTGAACAGAGTTAAATCCAGTTGGTGGCCGGTCACGAGTGGTGTCCCCCAGGGCTCGGTGTTGGGGCCACTCCTGTTTAACATCTTTATTGATGATCTAGACGAGGGGATCGAGTGCACCCTCAGTCAGTCTGCAGATGACCCCAAGTTGGGTGGGAGTGTTGATCTGCTCAAGGGTAGGGAGGCTCTGCAGAGAGACCTGGACAGGCTGGAGCCATGGGCTGAGGCCAACTGCAGGAGTTTCCATAAGGCCAAATGCCGGGGGCTGCCCTTGGGCCACAACAACTCCCAGCAGCGCTACAGGCTTGGGGAGGAGTGGCTGGAGAGCTGCCAGTCAGAGAGGGACCTGGGGGTGTTGATTGACAGCCCGATGAACAGGAGCCAGCAGTGTGCCCAGGTGGCCAAGAAGGCCAATGGCATCCTGGCTTGTGTCAGCAATAGCGTGGCCAGCAGGGACAGGGAAGGGATCTGACCCCTGTACTCGGCACTGCTGAGGCCGCACCTCGATTCCTGTGTTCAGTTTTGGGCCCCTCACTCGAGCGTGCCCAGAGAAGGGCAACGAAGCTGGTGAAGGGTCTGGAGCACAGGTCGTACGAGGAGCGGCTGAGGGAACTGGGGGTGTTTAGTGTGGAGAAGAGGAGGCTGAGGGGAGACCTCATCGCCCTCTACAGCTCCCTGAAAGGAGGGTGCAGAGAGCTGGGGATGAGTCTCTTGAACCAAGTAACAAGCAATAGGACAAGAGGGAATGGCCTCAAACTGCACCAGGGAAGGTTTAGACTGGATATTAGGAAGCATTTCTTTCCAGAAGGGGTTGTTAGGTGTTGGAATGGGCTGCCCAGGGCAGTGGTGGAGTCCCCATCCCTGGAGGTGTTTAAGAGTCGGGCTGACAGAGCGCTGAGATATATGGTGTAGTTGTGAACTGTCAAAGTTAGTTTAATGGTTGGACTTGATGATCTTCAAGGTGTTTTCCAACTGACATGATTCCGTAGTTCTGTGAAGCTGTAGCATCCTTGTTAAGAATGTGGAAAGGAGGAAACAGATTAAGAGCTGCTACATGATGAAGTGGTCTGCAGCACAGATGAGTTCATCTGCTTCAAGTTAAATAAAATACTGTAAGGAAATTTAAATCCTCCAGTTGTCTCAGAGGAAGGCAGATGCATATGCTATTCTGTATGAGGTACATGTTTCAAATAACAGACACTAACTATACACTCTGAAAGCCAAGAGACATCCATGAATCCTGCCCTTAGGTTCAGCTATGTTATAGCTTGCTGAACACGAGCAAGGTGTAATGCAGACCTGAGCCACAACCATAGATGCTAATAACGTAGCACATTCTCTTGGGACTAAAGCAACGCAAAGTACAGCTGTGGCTTTTGTAATTCTTTATGCATAGAAGAAAGCCAGAAGTTTTCAACTTCTGCAGCAGAAGAGCACTTACCAAAAAAATCCATTCCAAGCTTTGACAAACTTGAGTTTTCACCATATCCCTTTCAGGAACCTAGGGCTTTCCTCCAGTTGTGAATTCCAACAAAGTATAACAGATTATAATGAATAACAGTACTGTCAGTTTTTCTGTACCAGAATGGACTGAAGGTGACTTCAGCCACCTATGTAAAATGTTTGTCTATTCCAATATGAACTGCACACAAACCCATCAAAGAAGAAAAACTTCCTCTTCTTCTTCTTCTACAGATAATTCCTGTAGTGAAAACCCAGTGTGCTAGGTCCAGCCAAAAGTTATGAGTGGACACCATATGTCAAAAACAAATTAGATGATCATTTAATGAACAAAAGGATTACCAGCACTCAAAACTGCCAGAAAATATGATCTGCAACTGTTAGTGTCCTTGCCAGGACAGGGAATGCAACGGCACTAATCACATGGGAGAGCTCTGCACTTTGCCTTTACCAATCAGTTTAAAGATAAAAGTAAAAATCATGTACAGGAGATTTCAAGGAAGATCTGGATGCAAAAGAGAAGAAAGTGTGGTATCTGAAATATACGTCTAATTATCTATAAATGTGTTCTATTACATTGTGCATGCTCTAAATATAGAAAATATATTGCTGTTGGCCACAATATATTCAAACAACTAACATAACTTTAAATCCTCTGACTGACAGTAGGCAATCTTTTCTTCTGAACTGCAAATATTGAATGCATTATTGCAAAATTGTATTTGTCATCATGGAAAAACAGCACCACTAAGAACATAATCATAACTAAACTACCAGTTAGCCAGCAACAGCACATCTGAACAAAAATCTGTAGCTTTAGAAGCTTATAAAACTATTAGGATTTGCTGTCCCACATAATACCATCACCTAATATACCTGCCTTTAGTCAACTAAAATATGCAGAATTTAACATTATGTAAACTGAACCAAAACAAGGTAACTTCTAAATGCAGACATGCTCTTGTTTTGCCTTTGATATGTCCATATGCTTTAGTTCACCTCTCTCTCTACAACTCATTGAAAGGACATCGTAGAGAGGTTGGTGCTGGTCTCTTCTCACAGGTGATTAGTGTCAGAACAAGGGGGAATGGCTTTAAACTGCAACAGGGGAGGTTCAGACTGGACATTAGGAAGAACTTTTTCACAGCAAGAGTGGTCAGAGAGTTGAATAGGCTGCCCAGGGAGGGGGTGGAGTCACCATCCCTGGATGTGTTTAAGGGTCGTTTAGATGAGATGTTGGGGGATATGGTGTAGGGGAGAACTTTGTAGAGTAGGGCTGATGGTTGGACTTGATGATCCCAAGGGTCTTTTCCAACCTGAAAGATTCTGTGATTCTGCAATTCTTAAAGTCAATACAGAAGCCAGATTTAAAATTATATAATCTTTGTACCTTGTCAATACAGGTTAGTTTTTCTAGATCACATCTTTAGAACTGGAAGTATAAACCAGGCCTGAGGAACCAGAGTTTTCCCTGAAAACCTCTGTTACTTTATTACATACTGCACTCTTTGCTCAGGCTCTGAACTGAGCTACAGATTGCAATACAGTGCCTAGAACAGCTCTGGACTTAGAGACCAATCACTGTGGAGCATTAGGGATGATAGCTTCTGACAAACCATCCCTCTCCTCCCATGGCAGTATTAAAAGGAGGTGAATTTGTTCTGCTTCAGTACAAAAATATGCAAAATGCACATTTGCAAGCTTGTAAGTAAAGTAATGAATCCTCTCTTTGGAAGTGCTGTATCATGGTTTTGGTCACCCTCAAGCAGTTCAGTTGCCATATCTCTTAGAGAGTGCACCTGGTTTGTCAAGGAGACCATTCCAAGTTTAGAGCCACAGATGAAGTCTTCACCTAATTCAAAACACACATAGCTCATCACTGTTACTGCACTGCCTTCTGTCACTTTCTAACTACTGGATTTTCATCCCTGTTTATTTGGTTCAACAAAGTTACCCTTTATTACCCAATGATCACTATCAAAGCCTCTCATATGTGTTACTGAGCATGTTTTATAGCACAGGGGCATTGTTAGCAGCACACTTAGCCTGCTGGATATAAATAAAATACCTTCATTGCCATAAGTTCCTGCATCAAGACCGCATTTTCCAGGTCTAGCCTCTGGCTGTCTCCACGAGGTTTAACATCATAACTAAGGGGATCAATGTGGATGCTTTCCAGCTCCAGCATTGTCAGTTTCACTGCTGCCCTGTCATTTTTCAACTGCTGGATGTAATCCTTCAGCCGCTGCTCATCCTCCTTTGTAAATTCCGTATCGCAACTGCTTGCAGTTGAGCTGGTAGTACTGCAAAGAGAAAGAACTGTATTAAAAAACCATGTGGAACAAAATCTATACTCCTACCTTAAACATGCTCCCAATATTTTACCAACAAATCCGAGTCTTACTTAAAAGTTCATGGAAAGGACATACATAGTGTGGACTGGACGTTGCAATGCTCAGAAGATGCAGAGGGGTGTGAAAAATTCAGGAAAAAAATTAATACTCTAAGCTGCATGAGAAAATTGTATCACGTGATGAAAACTCTGCAAAGCCAGATAGTTAGTGACATGTAACAGAATTACTTTTCCTGAAATGGCGTCTTCTGAAACAAATTGTCTTTTTAATTAAAAAAAAAAAAAAAAAAAGTGCTACTTAAGATTTCTTACAATACACTATCAGGACAAGTTTCTCTCTGCTGCTCAGTGGGTCTTCATCTTCTTTAGGAAGAAGTATCTGCTAAGAAAAAACAATCAGCCCAGACCTCATTTATCTCTGCTGATCGCAATACCAGTTATCATCTCAAATATTTTTAATGGATGCTTGTAGGAATCAACCTGACTCAATCAATCTGCTGGCAGATGCCCGGAGGTAGCATCTTTCAATTCATGTTAAGGTGTATTCTTTAGTACACTGACATTCCTTCAGGGCCAGAGAGGTTTAGAACCAATCCATAAGTTAGCAGGATTTTTAATAAAATGTCATCATCAGACATGGCAGTTCTTCTCTTATCTACAGGCATCAAACAAATGACTGCCCATTAGTCTACCCCATAAACGTTTACTCAGAGATTGCAGAAAGGGAAAACTGTCTTAGAGCAAGGTGGTTCAGTGCTGCCTACCGACCCAAATGCATGCCAGTGCTTCAGGGTGCTGAGACTGGTAACAGCCAAAGCATTCCAGGGCTGAATATAGTTGCAATAACACTAAAAGGAAAATAAAATGCCACGTTATTTCTATAACCTCAGTCAAAACTGCCTGCTGTCTCCCGAGGTCCTGTAATCAGCTGCTGGGTGAAGGATAAAGTCATCCATTAACTGTGCTTGTCTGGAATGCTCAATGATCTCAGTTTTCAACAGGGGAATAAATCACTTTCTGTATCAAATTGCACTGCTGTTCAACATTTTTGTAGGAAGAAAAAAAGCCCCATCCGCTACATGCTGTGAGAGTCAGGATGATGTTCTAAAATATATTATGCATGTGAAAAAGGGGAAGACTATCAAGATAGGCTTGATTTTTCTCTTTTCTTTTGGTTCTACTTCTGTTAAAGCTACAATGATTTTTAAGTGCCTCAAATAACTGTCAATGTTCCCACATATTCCAAGCACAGCCTTGGAGGAGACTGAGAATTGACAGGTCTACAAAGATTTTTTTCCAGAATCCTTCCCCCTCATGAAATATCACATTACAGTTCTTTACTACAGTCCTTTGTCAATTTCCCATTATTCCTTCCTTTTCTTAGGGATAATAGGTGCCATATTTACCACAAATGTAAACTGTTCTTTGCTGTTGATTCCATCCATTTCTATCTTCAATGAAGCTAAAAACACTCGGTACCTACATTACATAGAAACCCTTTCAGATTGAAACAAATTTTTGTTCACACTTAGTTCTTCATAAGAGAACCTCTAAACACTTAATAAATCTTGCTTTACTGAGTCTAGAGATACCTCTCTGAAGTAGATACCGATATAAAAATCAGGGGATACACAACAGAAGAAATACTTAATTCTGTACTGAAATCATGTTGCAAATTTCCTCAGCATGGAAAGACATTAATTGCACAGCTTTTCTGGATTAAATGTAAAACATCTGTTGTTGGAGGAAGGACAGATTTTAAAGCCTACACAGATTTCAAATCTTGGGACACAAAGAGCTCATCTCAGTTTTTGCTTGCAAAGGAAAGAAAACCTAGCTTTCCTGCTGGGAATGAAACCTGAGCAAAAATGCTGCAAATCTGTTGTTAAGGTTGTGTTAGACCTTGTACTCACTGGATATTCACAGATTCTGGCTCTTAAAGGTCCATGGCTATGCATGTATATTTTAGAGAGCAGTCCAAACTGAGGAAGGCAGTCTGGGTTGTTGCCAGTGATACTCAGGCTGCTTTTACTTTAGTCCTGGCTGCCTGCCTGCCTGCCTGTCTGCAGCTGAGTTGGTCCTCTGGTGAATTGCTAGCAAGCTGCTTTGCTTTTTTTTTTTTTTTTTTTTTTTTTTTTTAAGAAGGTGAGGAGAGCTTATCAAGGAAGCTGTCTCAGCCAGCACACAAAGGGACAAGAACCTTCCCTCTCCCTGTACATTAAGCAGCAAGACCCCACCCAGAAGACTGGAAGCAGTATGGGCTGCAGAAAGTCAGGAGACAAAGCCCACTTTGGACTGTTGTAAAAATGAGGCTGCATGATTAGGGATGGAAACAATGGTGTAGTGTTTTTTGAACTCCTACAGCACAGCTCTGCCAGGGTGTGTTCCCCCAAAAGCCCCTCCATACACAGCTGGTAAGCATATGAATTTCACATACTGCTCTCCCTTCTAACAGCAGTCAGGACAAAGGAAAATAGACTGATAGAATGCATATATAGTATAACGCATCCATCCAACAAACACATGAAACTGTTGCAAAAGATGTGCAGTTTCAGGATAGAGAAAGGGTCACAATTTCATTACACCTGGAGGGAATACATCATCAATCTGCTCATTCTCTCTGCTGCTGTATTAAGAACACACACAGAGAGATGTTTGTCCACTTGCTTCATCCCTCAAGTCTTTTACAATGATGTCATGCATGGATGATGTTAAATTAATTTTCATATACAGCCTGTGAAAAATAGGGAGTTTGGTATAGTACAACATGCAGACTTTTTTGCTGTCATGCATGCACGTGTTTGCATACGCGTGTGTGTGTAAAATGCAGTGGATGGATACAAACGAGGCTTCCAACAGTGCCTCGGAGTAACTTCAGTACACTACAAAATTTTGTCCATAAAACCCTGTAAAAGCTTCAGTTCATAAATCTGCAATTCAGCAATGGTGCAGATAATACAAAAGTTGACAGAACTAAAATAATGCTGTCAGAATTCAATCCACAAAACTTGCTTGAATGTCTGCATGCAACCTTAAAGAATGCATTTGATACACAGTATACATGTGCCAACCATCTTCAGGATGAATGTTGTAGTTTGAGATCTGAAACAGCACTATGCCAAAAGATAGTAACTTCCTGAGAAACTAATTAAAAATACTTCAGACAGCCAAAAGACAAACAGTGAATTTGGCTAAAATCAGAACCTTTGGTGAAAATACCCCGCTTCTTTCTGAGTTCAGTCCAGCAAAAAAGTGTTACACAGATAACATGAAGATACCTGTTGGGTTATTTCTACATAATTTGTAAACTTCACCCAAGACAATTTTGTCTGCCAGCTACCTATCTGAAATCTGAGGTGATTCTGATGAGAGTTATAGTCCTACATTTGGCTGAGATATTTTGTGACACTGCTTAATACTAAGAAGAATTCCCTTTGCATACAAGACAGCAGATCTTCACCCCCATAAATCCAGATGTAAGGCTGGGCTTACTAGCACTGCAGGGAATAAAATCCACTGTTTTCAGTCCTTCTGTGCTAGTTTGAAAACAAACTAGAGGGAGACACCAAGTCAGAATAACAATTTAAGAAGGAAAAAAAAATTATAAAGGCAGATAATACTGGGTTAAACTAACAGAGTCAGGATACAACCTGACACCCTGTTAATCAGGGTGGTAGTAGCAGTCTGGTAGAATGGTGGCTGCAGTCTCCCCGAAGCAGTGATGCTGTAGAAAAAAAGATCTGCTCTTCCTCAGAAAAGTCCAGTGGTGGCTAAGCAGCTCCTGTCCTCTGGAAATCCAGTGGAAAAGAGAGGCCTCTGGTATTCAGAATCTCAGGTTATATCCAGGATGGAATGCTGGTTTTCTCCCTCTGGGTGGAGCATCTTACAATGGGATAATGAGTCATGCTGCATGGCATTGATGGGCCATTAACAGAAAGATAGTCTGGAGGGGGGGGGAAACAAGGAAACACTGCCCACCTGATTTCCACAGCCCATGAGGATGGTAATAGAATAAATACACTGCAACCCAGGACACCTTCTCTTTTGTTTCTTTCTTCTTGAGGTGTAGTCAAACTTTGTCAGCAATACATGTTCCGTAGTTAGCTTCTGTCCATTTAAAATAATTATAACCTCCAACTACACTGCAGACCTATTTCTATTTTCAAAAAATGAATTGGCAACATTATTGTGCTGCTGTCACACAAATGAGTCGATATTCTTGCTATTATTTATATTTACTTCACCAGTAACAACCTCTGTGATACTCTTCCATTTTTTTTCATTTCAGTCTTTAAGTTAAAGACTCAGAGTCTTTCAGCACTTGTCACTAGTGGCTCACCAAGCATTTATTTATTCTCAGTAATGTGTTCAGTGATCTGACATTCAGAATCTCATTTGAAATCCCAAAGCTAAAGATGGGTCAACAATTCTGCTGTAAATCTCTATTCTACAGGATTTTGAACAGCAGGGAAAACTACTCATTTGACACGGGTCTCAGAAAAGGAGTTTTCATCATCCTGCTACCACTTTACTCAGCTGGTTTCAAAGGGAAAAGGTAGCAACACATATCTGAAACTAAAAGCTTGCAACACTGAAACAGCTATGGCAAAAGATCAGTCCTGCTGATTTGGAGTATGTTTGAGCCACACAATGTAAAAATGTTTTCATTTCAGTGTAGTAGTCCCAAAATGTTGGTTCACACAGCACTTGCTGGTGATGTGGGCTTGTTCTACCCCCAGTTTCATAGACTGCTGAGTTCTTTAAGACACATAAAAAATACTAAGCCTGCAGGAACAGCTAGAAATCCACAGTCTGCTTTACTATCTTTGCTTGGATTGCTATTGTAATGAAAAAATTCAAGGAAATGGAAATCATCAACAACAATGCATTATAGAGGGCTGGAGGTCTGTGGCAATGGGACATCTGTGTAGAGCAGCAGGGAGCCAAGTGACAAGGGAGCATGCATGAATGGGTTGAGAGAGCCAGCACCGTAGACAGGATAATTCCTGGAGAGAAACAAAAAGGATCCAGATGATAGGGAAATGGGAGTTAAAGACAAAAATCTTCTGTTTTTTAAACGCTAGATAGAATATTTACTGATAGAAATATGGAAAAGTGTGTGCCTTCTGAACCAACACAGACGTTCCACCTGTGGGCTGGCACAGTGTCCTATGTCTGTAAGCTGAAGAGGGGGATGCCTCTATTTTGAGACACAGGAAGGAGAGATCTGAAAACACCTCTACCATATATCACTTGAACACAACAGAAGAAGAGAAGATTTGTATTTCATGGAGAAAGTAAAGTTTCAGAAATACTTTCATTGATACGTATGTTTAGACAAAGACAATTTACTGGATGTAAGTGGAGGGGAGATGGACAACAACGTGTAAGTGATGATCAGATCAGGATGCCCATATGACAACTTCCCGACTTGCTGTGTGCCCTTCATGTAAATGAGAGAAGCTTTCTCACGTTTCACATATATCAAAACACATAATAATAGTTACCTTATTCAGTACAGTATCTTGCTCCGTACCAGAAAAATTACCCTACAATGATAATGACTCGAGCTAAAATATCTCTCGCACCAGAAGCTTTCATGTTTGCATTTTCACATTTCATGACAGTATATACTGATGAAATCTGAAATCCTATGCTATTTTAATCATGCTCTGCTGAAACTTTATCTATTCAGCCAATACATCACATGCACACTCACGCAGTGGCCAGCTGACCACCAAAATTTTAGAGTAAACAATGAGCATGCTCATTCCTCCCCAAACACACACAAGTCTCTCCCTTAGCCTCCTCCTCGAAAAAAAGAAAATGACATTCAACAAAGTAAGAACTGTAGACTACCAAACACTTCCAGTGAAAGACTAGGAAAACAAACACAAAACCCCTGGAAACAGCAGCCCCACCCACAATTTCCCCTGTCAATACTGGAAACTATCTAAATAGTTTTCAATTTTATAAAAAAACGCCTTGACTGCATACCAGATATCTCACAAGGAAGAAAAATACTGAGATAGTTATGAACAACTGAAAATGACCCTTTCAAATAACAGAATGGAAAACAAGCTCAGCCTAGGTAGAGGCGTTGCTATGTGTGACCACTTACAACATGTTCACATGTGGGTGTAGATAAGGCATAAGTGCATGCATATTGAGGCAAATCTAGTATTTGAAACAGCTTTGTATAACTTCTTTCCAAGGCCAGTAAATACCTTGGGTACAATGAACAATCAATGTGTTACTAGCACAGATGCTACCACATCAATTTCTGAATAGAGATAGAGGTTTCCTGGACTGAAAGTGCACCATAACACTTGTTTGAATAAAACGTTAACATTTCCCTCAAATTTGTACCCTGTTGTAAAATTTCCCTCAAATTTGGACCTTGTTCCCTCAAGTTACTTTTTTCCCCTCACTTTTCAGCTATTTCATGCTCTTCACATGGCAGGATATGAGATCCTTTGGAGGAAGCATCAGCAAGAAAAGGAAATGATACAGTACTAAAATAAACTTCTCAAAGTGTCAAAAAATGACAGCATTTGAATAAAGAACTGGCTCAAAAACTGAATTAAAATGAATTTTTAGAGTGAATCTGAGAAACTAAAATAACTTTTAAAAAGAAAAATGTTCATCTATATTTATCCGGATACTTGCCAAATTTGTATCCATACACAAGCACACATATTCACTGCAGAGAGTACAATTACACTGCAGGCAGGCAGCAACTCAAAATGAATCTCCTAGCAGATGTATTTGAACTGGAACACTTCTGCAATAATAGCTCATTTCAGTTTCATTAACTTATAGGTCTTCAGAATAACTGCAATATCCAGCCTTTTCTGCAAGAATCCACTCTTGTCATGATGTTCATTTGCCACTGTCCATGCAAAAGCATAGCATGGGAAGGAGGAATTTGGAGGGGGACAAAGAGGAATGAGAAGGGAGAGGAAATGGTTTAAAACAAAATGGCTGGATATGCAACATTGGGAAAACAACTCCTGAAAACTCCAAAACACCAATGGAAACATACTTCTGATCTCTAGTTCTCCATAAGTCTGTGCTGTCTGCATGCAACAGATATGAATAAGGAGTACATGATCTGAGTTCCGATAAAATAGCAAAAAAGTCACTGAAGTAAAACAAACATAATGGCTTTGCCCTTTATGAGGAAGATCAAAGTTCAAAGTCACCCATTTGCAACAAATTTATACAAAACACTTCTTGGCTGGAGTTGCTCAAAGTCTAAAGACAGTCAGATCACTGAGGTGTAGTGACTTATAAATCAAAGCAAAGAGTCAGCAGACTGAGGTTAGGGATGTAGGTCAGCAAATACAACATAACTTATGGTCTGAAATCAAACACTTTGGGATTAGGAAAGAAGATGAGTTGCAGTTACCTTGTGTGGCTGTTGGATGACAGGCTTTCCCAGGGCTGCACGCTACAGCCAGTGATTGCATAGGCTCCCCCACAGCTTCCATCTAGTTTCATCAGCAAGGCTTTTGCTGCGTTCTCAGCTGTCTTCCTGCAGTCATGAGCTCTCTTAAGCATCTGAGTGATGTTTTCATCACCTGTCTGGTCCCCTAGTTTTCAAGCAAACAATCTGTTTTAGAGCTTTGAGGAGGGTGACAGAAATTAATGCAAGAGTAGAGGTGCTTCTGCACACTCCTAGTTTATACCAAGATGATGATGATAAACTACCAATCTGTAATGTAAAAGCAACTTCAATTCTATGTGAGCATCAGTGGTAACTGGGCTACTGGCCTGAACGCATCTCCCTCCCAGCCAGGTTGTTGTTGCTTTGTGTACAGGTCTTAAGTGATGCTTTATCTTTGCTAGCTTGTCTGTAAGGGTGTGTGCACTGTACCTTAGGTTAGGATGCTCAAATTAGTAACACACTGTAAAAGCCTCAGCCTGAATTACGGCTTTTACTCCAATCAATGCAGTGCTGTTTCACAGTACGGTCCTTTCCAGGGCTTTTTCTCACAAGCATCTTTATCTCAAGCCTAATTGTTTGCCAGAACACCAACTTTCCAGCTGAAAGAATTGCCTTACTGGTTAGAAGCAGCCTTTCAGAGTTTACCATTATGTATACTAAACCAAGAGAAAACTAGCACTGATGTTTATTAATTTGCTAGAACTTTTAATGGTTATGCAGCATCTATGGAGCCAGCAACTACGCAGAAGCAACTCCCATGAATCTTCCACTCACAGTGTTGATATAAAACTCAACTGATGTTCAAACCAAAGATCTGCTATTTCATCTGTATATTTTCATCAATTTCATAGTGAAGTAAAGGTACTTAAACCAAACACAACTTCCTTCAAGCTGTATTATGTAATGGGAAATTAGCACTTTTTACATCACATGGCTGTAACTGGTAATAACCTAAGAGCTGTAGACACACACCTATATAAAAACTAAACTACACTTTCATAAAACACATGTGAGATGAAACCCATGGTATTTCTCCCTTCTAAGATTTCTTTCTGTGACCTATATGAACAGAAAATCCAAGACTAAATTCACTTTTGCTGGCCAGCAGGGAAAGCTGCCTAGCACACTATTGAAAAGAATGACCAGAGTCTGGAAGAAAGGTGGAGGAAATCTAGGGCATTCACTCTAACATTCAGTGTATGGCACACATTGCACAGGCCAAGACAGGGCCTGTTTCTAGCACTGGGAGAGATGGATAAGGGGCATGGTTAACAGCACAGCAATTGTGAGCTGACTGCATATAGTTATCTCAAACAAAAGGCTGACCATGTCAGTCCTGTGGCGCTAGAGTCAGATGGTCACTATGTCTCTAAAGCTTTCCATTTACATTTCAGTGATTCCTAAGAAGCTAATGCTGTAATACTGTCTCAATCAGGAAGTTACATCAGCACAGCATGCAGATCTATTCACAGAATCATCAAGGTTGGAAAAGACCTTGAAGATCATCAAGTCCAACCATTAACCTATCACTGACAGTTCCCAACTACACCATATCCCTCAGCGCTATGTCAGTCCAACTCTTAAACACCTCCAGGGCAACACCAACTCCACCACCTCCCTGGGCAGCCCATTCCAACTCCTAACAACCCCTTCTGGAAAGAAATGCTTCCTAATATCCAGTCTAAACCTTCCCTGGTGCAACCTGAGGCCATTCCCTCTTGCCCTACCACTTGTTACTTGGTTAAAGAGACTCATCCCCAGCTCTCTGCACCCTCCTTTCAGGGAGCTGTAGAGGGCGATGAGGTCTCCCCTCAGCCTCCTCTTCTCCAGACTAAACACCCCCAGTTCCCTCAGCCGCTCCCCGTACCACCTGTGCTCCAGACCCTGCACCAGCTTCGTTGCCCTTCTCTGGACACGCTCGAGTCATTCAATGGCATTTTTGTAGTGAGGGGCCCAAAACTGAAGACAGGAATCGAGGTGCGGCCTCAGCAGTGCCGAGTACAAGGGTCAGATCCCTTCCCTGTCCCAGCTGGCCACGCTATTGCTGACACAAGCCAGGATGCCATTGGCCACCTTCTCTCTCTGAAGGTTTCCTCTCTTTCCAATTGAACATTACTACAGCTACCTTCTATCAGTAAAAGGAATGGCACTATAAAACCCAGGTTCATGTTCATTGCATAAAGACCTGTACCAGAAAAACAGAGCCATCATCAATGTCAGGCTCCAAACACTTTGGAACTGTACCTACGACAGTGGCTTATTCCATTACTTACTGAGCAAGTATATAAAAAAACACCACCCCCTAGCCACAAGATCAACTATACACAAAATAAGAAAAACCCAGAACATATAGGATAATATCCCTGACAACATAGTAAAATTTAAGATAAAATATTTCAAGGTTTCACAGCAAAGGTAAAACGTGGGGTGAAAAACTAAAACCATTTTTGTGTAGTTTTTTTTTTTTTCTCTTGATGACTACTCAGTGCTACCTTGTATTGTCTTAATCCAAGATTTTAAAGACTACACTCAACTTCTAGGAAGTTCAATGTTGCTGGTTCAAACTAAATTTATACTTGCAGTCACCACAGCTGTATGGCCCTAATTCACATATCTTTGTGAGCATTGTTTAATAATTCCACTCTGTACAGCTGCATGCCTGTAACTGCCTCACCACTGCCAGAGCAGACATTGCCATGTAAAAAGTACATGGGGGTTAATTCAAATTGCTGGTGAATTTTATGATTTAGTTCCAGTCTCTCTTTCTCTTGTTTCCTATTTTTTGGGTATGTAAAATGATTTAATTAGTTAAAAACACACCAGAGAGCATTCTTAAGTGATGGGTCATGAGATGATTCACTGTTACAACTAACCCTAATGCTAACTGACATAAAAAAAAAAAGTGATTCATTGACATCTTACCAACAGAACCAACACCTGCAGCTCTGAACTGCCCAAGAATGAGACTCTGCTCACTTTCTGCCAGTGCCAACAGCAGCTCATATGCTTCTATACACTGTTCACTGAAAGAGAAAACAAACCACAGAAAACAAAATTCACACAAAATATATATGCCATTTAGAGGGGAAGAATACCTGCAACAGCACAACAACAAAAAACAAGAGGTAGCTGATGAATGGCATGATTCCCTACTACTTGTCTAGCAGCAGGATATTAAATGACATAACACACATAAGCTTCTATCACAAGCATTCAACAGTCTCTCCTTTCTTACGATGGTCCCAGATTGGCCTCAAGTAATGTAAAAAGTTAAAACAGAAGAGAATGACCTGATGTGAAGTGAGCTCCAGAAGCACGTTTGAAACAGTTACAACACAAATGGTGGTCAACACAATCCGTTTGAGAAAATTTTTTTCTGGCTTTCTTTCTACTATGAAATATAGTATTCTATACTATATAACTATACTATCATAGTAAGAAGGAAAACCAAGAAAAATACTTGTTGCTCTGTCCTGGCTGTATGATTTTCCTCCTTAAAACACAACAGCTTCTAAATACAGTTGTGAGTCACTCATTCCATTCTAATGTTTTTGAAAACATATACATTAATATCCTATTTGCAATTTCTATTTCCTCGTAATTTGATCAAGGCTATTAGTAAAAGAATACATTCTTTTATGGCACACAATTTGTCTTAAGACCAGAACCTCCTGTTCCAAATTTGTTGCAGCTGAAGTAGCTAAATGACACTATGTTTTTACATACAGCTTAAAGCAATTCTAGATACTCGTAACCGCATACCAAGCAATTAATCCACAATTCCAGTTGATGTAATATAAAGTCACTCTGAATTATGTGGAGTACAATACCACTCTTTGGTTCACTGGTCTTATGAAAAGTGCCAGCCTAATACAGAGGACCTGTATCTTAAGATCACATACAGCAGAGACAGTTTGAGCCTACACACAACCCCTAATTCAAATGTTAATTGAGTATTTAAAAATTAACAGATAAATCCGTATCTTTTACTTAGATTGAGTTCACTACTGCTGGTGAATTAGTCTTGAAATATACTTTTATCAGTAACTTCTGTTCTGTAATTTGTCAAATAGTTTAACCAAAGGGGCATTTTTTCAGGGAGAAAACACAGAAACAGTATTACTATGGCACACCAACAATGTCACTCTCAAAGACTTCTATCAAGTCTCCTCAATCCCTCTTTTTCTGTCTGAGACACCCTCTGCATACTTACATACCTGTACTGCAGTGCAAGCCTAAGGGCTGTGGCATTGGACTCGTACTTCCCAACAAGCATGCTCATCCTCTCAGCATTGCTCTTGCACTCTTCCAGTGTTATTGTCAGCAAGTCATTCTGGGACTTCAAGTGCTCAATACGGCTGTAGAAAAGGAAGTAATTTGCAACCTTCAAGCTTAGTTTACAGACACTGTCCTGAAAACTCTAGAACAATCATAATTTAAAAAACACAAATGCTGTTTGGTCTACACAAGGCTTTTAATGAAGATGGCAAAATCTACCAGTTCTCTGTACCCTATCAAGAGTCAAGAAGACAGGAATTTGTCTTAGGACAGATTCTTCTTCTCCTCTCCTATCCATAAAATGTAATCATAACCCTGTGCAACAGCAGCAAGCAGAAAACGGTACTCCTATTCTGTAGCCACAGGACTGCATAGGACAAGTTACGTATTAATACTTTGCTTAAATTTTCTGCCTCTATTCCTCACTTCCTGCTGCCACATTTGCTTCTTGTTTGAAGTGGCATGCTCATTAGTGTGTGTAGGGATCATGCAGCTGCATAAATGTCCTTGGAACATCCAGAATAACTGTTTCACTTGAAGTAATATTTTGGTTGTGATTAGAGACGTAACTGCCAAAATAAAAAGCTTCAATGAGGCAATGAATCGTCCAGAAGTTCTGGCAATAGTCAATCTGAAATTGAGACTTCAGAGTATGAGTATTACTGTGCATTCTCACTGCTGATAACTGCACTACACATTGAAGTACTATGCCTAGTTGCAAGAGTTGGACATACACTGAAAACAGACAGGCAAACAATTTCAAAATTTGGACAGGTACCTAATGAAGAAATCAGTGCCATCCAGAACTCTAAAATCACTGACTTTACAAGCACAAGAAGGAGAAGGGCTAGTATACCATTTATTCAGCTACCATCATAAAGCTCTGACTTTCCTAGCTGCTACAACTCTCAGATGCTTCACCTCCTGTATCTTCTTTGACACCTCCTATAAGGATACATGTTGTCAAAGCATAATTGCACAGCACAGAGAAAAAAAGAAAAAAAAAAGTAAGAAAAAAGGAGGATCACATTTCACAGCACTACAAAAACATGAGCTACAAAAAAGAGATATTGTACTGATCAGACTAAATTTGAGACAGCCGTGGGGAAGAGAAAACTTGAAAGGAAACATGCTGAGACACAATTCTCACATTCCTGATCCGCAGTTTTGATTTTATGTGCCAAAAATGACATGAAGCATTGGTTTTGACAGAGTTTCTTGAAGGATAACACCAGCAGTATTTTAACTGGAACCAGAAAGCTGCAATCTTTCTTCTGCAGACAGAAGTCTATTTACTGATATATACGCCACGCCACTATGTATCAGTTCATTCACTGATACTGTTAATGCTTAATTCTTTTTCAGTACAAAACAAAGCAAGCTAATATGAGAATGATGGAGAATAATTTATGGGAATCCTTATTTCTAGCAATGATGTCTCTTATTAAAAAAAATGCCATGTCTACCTAGTCAGCCATAGAGCAGGTCACTCTACTGTGCAAACTGTCACAGATGAAGGTGCCATGCTGATCTAATAATGCACACCAACCAAACTGTCATACTAATGGAAAGAACCCTTAGCATATGATTCAATCTTCCCTTCATCAACTACATTCAGTGTTTATCTGCAGCTACCACACTTGATCTGTGACTGCACTATGAAATGTTCAAAAAGGATAGAAAAGTAGTAACTTTAACAAAGCTAGTAGCAGACAATACATTTGATCATATCTAGCTTTTCACCTTACCTATTTAATCTCTCTGTCTCCACTTCAAATTCTCGGATTTTACTTTCAGAGATAGCAGATCCATGTGAATAAAGAGTCTGGAAGATTTCCTGGATGTTTGAGCAGTCTTGTAGGGAATGTGCCAAATGTTCAGCCACAGTACTAGACACCTACATAGCACAGTTAAGAGTTCATTGTGAATATAGATAACCATTGTATTCCTCCCAGCAGCAGTGTGCACTGAGAGCTGCATTTGCTTGCACTCACTTCAAGGCATTCATCATTCAGATTTTCCTGTGAATTTTATACTAAATAGAACAAGTTTCCACTTTAAGAAGCTATTTTGATTTAAGATTCTACTAACCAAAGAGTGAAACCCACTATTTCATCATACATTAAAAAAGCCTAATATGCAAGTTATTTACTTTCTTGAAAGCTTAACAAAAGGTCAGAGCTAAGTTCTTCAGTGAAACAAATATTAACACACAGTAACAACACTGCTATAGATTTATACTGGCATTGCAAAGCAGAAGCCAGTTCTGTTGATTGGAAGCTGTGAAAAGCAACTGAACAGTCTTTTTTTGAAGAATAATTGTTTTAGAGTAATTAACTCCAAAATCATCCTCTGGAAGTCACTCAAGAGAATAATTTCTAGACACTAGTTATTAGAAAATGACCTCTTAATACTGGCTGAAATATTTGTTGTTGAAATATTTTTCTTAAAATAACTTTTGAAATATTTTCAGTTTAGTAAGAAACCAAAGCTGCTTTTAATGGAACATGCATTATCTCCAGAAGGTAACATGCATGCACATTATTATTTAGTCCTTACCCCTATGCTGCTGATTTCTGATCCTAAGACAGGTCTATCAGATGATGAAGACTCTGATCTTGTCTTTGACAGTTTCACTCTTTCAGCAATCTGTAAGTCAAAATGCTGCACAGGTTACACAGGAACCCACACTCCTTAAAGATGCAAAATGCATTTAAAGAACAAAATGCATTTGTTCATTAGCCACAAACTTGCAAAAGCTTGCAAACCTAAGCTACTGTAAAACTGACACCTGTGCTGTAACTGAGAAAATTATAATCATTAGCCCTTAATTCCTTTCTGCAGCTCAAGTTCATGGGCCTGCTTAGGACCCCAGAAAACTCTCTGGGGAGTCTAGGTATCTCCTAGTTAATCACATGCTTGCACAGCAGTTGTGCAAAATCAAGCCTGCTTCTCCCCGATAACAAGAAGAGTCACTACAAACAAAATAGCTCACCTTGGCTATGGGAATGTCATTGCTACTGCTGCTTGTGCTCAGCTCTCCCGTGCTGGGGTTAATAGGTCGATTGGCAGAAGTAAGACGACTTGGGCTGGATGGGCCTGTTGCCTGCACACTTTGCAAACGTGTCTGCAGTTCCCGAACCTACAATAAAACATAATGTTATATTTTTTCCATTTTTATGGTTTAAATAGTTTGGAGATTTTCTCACTGTCTAGCCAAGCCTAATTGCTTCTTGCTTGAGCACAGAAGTTGTATTTTGTCCTGTGGTGGCTACGAAGTTTTCATGCGTGGAGCACATGAATGGAGGTTGTTATAAAATTCCATTGCTGTCAGTTTTTAAAACTATTTCAATGTGGAAATATGGAGATGTATTATCATAAATAATCAAAGTTTCAGCTTGTTTTATATAACCCCTTCAGTGCAGCTGTACTATATGTATAGAAATTATTCTCTCTGGGGTGAAACTAACACTCCAGTCTAGATTATGATGACTAAACAAATCAAATTAAGATCTTGCTGTTAATGGAAAGTTCCAGTGTTGAAAAATCTCTTAATATAAATATATCACAGGATGACTTTGTCATACTTAAAGAAATTCTAACATTAATCATGCTTTGAAAACTGAAGTTACTATATAGTGAGTAATGTACAGACAAGGAAATACCAGCAAACTACCCAACCAACAGTCTGCAGAATATAATACACACTGCAAACATGGCATGGTCCTCATAACACATGAGATACTTGTAGAACTGATGTTAAAAGATTTTCAGGACTAAAGGGTAAAAAAAAAAAAGTCATCTGTAGGAGCTAAACTATAGCTAAAGATAGTAGTGTTTACCTTGGAGTAATTCTTAACAAACAATAAATGGTTTACTTAACACAATTATGCCACAAGGTAAAGTGACAGAGCTCATTTTCCCCAGAGAATCTCAAGTAAAGTGTGTGAGATGAGGGAAGGTGTAGGAAACTATCTGAAAAAGAAATTGCCTCGAATATAGAGTGTCTAATATTCAAGTTTCTATGCCAATTTTGTTGGAACTGTCCATCTGCATAACACAAATGGTGAAATTTTATCAACAGTCCAGTCAAACTAAAGCTAGGTCCATATGATATCCCAATGTAGCATGAAATGCAACTCTGATTGCTGTTCTCTAAATCAAGGTGGGATTTTATTCTAAACAGAATACATGTACACAAACCAAAGTATTAAATATTACACATTGAGCAAGCTGAAATCCCTTAGTCAAAAAATACCAAATTAAAATTGCATTAAAGTTTAAGCTTTCTGCAGATATAGGCTCATCAAGTGCATGGTCAGTACTTGAGCAATCTCTGCTTGAAGAAGTGGCAGTCAGCATGTTCTCTGCACAACATATACAGATCACTTCATCCTACTGCACTGCAGAAAGAGTTCAAGCTGAAACTCTCTCCAGTGACAAAAGCAGTATCCTATGCCTACTTCAATCCCCTACAATCTGCTTCTGCTTACCCGAAGATAACCCCTGGCCTCTCCTTCAATAATATGCAAACTGAAGTTCAGGTTGCCTGAGGCCTTACTATCAAAATAACAGATTTTTAGGTATGTGCATATTACCAAAGAAAGGGAAAAAAAAAAAAAAGTGTTTTACTTAACAGATCAGAACAATTGCATGTTACTAATAAAAAGCTGTAGGTGGCAACAGTAAGAGCACATAAAGGCTAACTGCACTTATAAATTCTCTGTTCAGTTGTGGAGGAGTGCTACACCTTAAATAAAATTAATCCAAATGAGTGCATTGGTGTCTCTGTGAAGAAAAAAAGAAGATAAAGTACACAAAACCTCAAATCAAATCCCCAGTGTTTAAGGTAACTTGCTGAAGAATGGATACGGGTGCTTTCCCCAGAATTATACATCATAACTGTAATTAAATTATAAAGTTAACTGAGCAGAGTGTATAAAGTGCACATTCATAGCACATATCTTCTACATACTTGCAGCTGAGGCCTCCTTTGTTCATATAGACATATATAATTTCAACATGGGTACAGCCGCACTAATGCAAACCTTAAGGACAGAAGTGCTCTACTGATGCAAACCAATCATTTCAGCTTTTTGATATGCATAAAACTGAAATACATGGTTATGTATGCATGTTGCTGCTTGCAGATGTGGAATACTGGTGTAGATAGGATTTCTGTGGCATTAACACGG